GGGGGAGGGGGGGGGTGGATCCCACGCCCCGATATGGTTTTTCTGAGTTTTTCCCTAGAGGATAAAACATCAGCACCCGACCTTTTCAGTAGCTGTTCGTCAGGAGTCCATCACCCTGCTGTTCGTTCATCCCTCGCGCAGATTTTGAGACGAGTTTAGTGATGGTCAGTTGCTATGGTTACGAGATATGTCTTTCATTAAGGGTGCAAAATGTTTTTTTATTTGACTACGAACGTGCTATGAAACTCAAATAAACCATCAGTGCTTGGATTTAATAATAATAATAATAAAGTCTTTTTATTCGTCAAAAGATAAAAATACATATCTTTTGTTACAAGGGTATTTAATCAAGAAATTTTACATCTGGCAACAAGTATGAAAAGGAAAAAAGAAAGAATTCAGATCTAGTATATTACAAAGCTAATTCGTCAGTATTTAAAAAAAAAATAAATGGTTAATGAAAGAGTATTTAAGACGCATAGTATTAATCTTAGGTTTATAACAAGTTTCTTTTCATAAGATAAGAGTGAATGTCCTGTAGAGTTTAGAACCACCTCTCTAAAAACTTTGCGATCCTACCCCTCTAAGAGATCATGTGCACTTACAGGCTTTGACGTGTATTTCCTTTTGAAACAGCGGCCCAAGAAACATTGCACAGGTGTAAGATCGGAATAGGACGCACCGTAGACGGATACTGCATAATTAATATTAGGTAGAACTATTGTATTAAGAGAATGTCTAATTCTGACTGATAGTACCCCTCTTTGCGCAGCGTTCTAAGGATATGTACCATGTTTTTTCAGCCTTTCTTCGTACATTGAGTAGAGAAGCCTCGTGCCTCGGTTTCATGACTTAAGAATCTACGTAATAACGTCACTGGTTGCTCGAGAAAAGGCCATTTGCACCTTGGCGTCATTTTATTACTATGACCAGAATCCCTTTGCTTTTTCCTTTCATATTTAAATTTGGTAATTCCAGAGAGGATTAAAAAACAAAAGCCCTAATTTGCACAAGAAGGCAAAACCCTGAAGGATTCTGGTCGTAGTATAAAATAGAACTAAAATGACATCATCGTGCGCTATTGTAATATTGATCAGTCACATCAAGCAAAAGTACAATTGTTTAATTTCTTTCTGAAATTAATTTTAAATCTAATTTTTCTTTTCTGTGTCGAGCTTCAGAATTAACAACTGAATAGGCATTGGAACGTTGTGAAAACCGAAGTAAATACACTAGGGGAATCTTTTGGCAACTGCCAAAGAGGCGAATCTCGCAGTTTGTTACATAAATTAAGGCCCTGTTTACATGGAGGTGGAGCACCCCAGGTAGGTGAGGTAGCCCGCTTAGGTGGGGTAACCCGCCTGTCCATATAATCTATCTAATTTGATCACGTTTAAAAGATAGGTAGGGTGACCCACCACATGTTACCTCACCTATCTGGAGTCCCTCACCTCCATGTAAACAGGCCCTGGGTGACTCAAACTTGATTTCGCTATAGGCAAGGATGGCTAATAAATTTTCCACAAGTTTGAAACAACATTATATAAGCACATCAGACTACGTTTTCACTTTTATTAAACAAAAACATGGCCTGAAGTCGTATTAGTAAATCATAAGGCAATACGTTGGCTTTTTCTGTCTGTAATGGTAAATTCTATTGCAGCATCAAAACTATAAACATTAGAAAGTAAAATGTTGTTCGAACGAGGCCTTAAACTGTTGTAATTAAAATTGACAATTATATTCCGAGCTTTTGCCGATCGATCAACGGCATTATTAGGAATAAAAAAATATTCCGCATCAAGTTAAGTATATGAAAAAATTGGTGGAAAGTGAAATGAGTGAAAAGCGCACATGGGGTGAAGTTTATAATAAAGGTATGTAGAAATATAAATTTGAATAAAATACAACTTAACGATCTAATGAGCCAGTCTCACAGGACAAAGAGTCTTTCGAAAGGCATAAAGATAGTCTCTAAAACAAAAAATCCAGAAATTTGTTGCTTTCCTCACGGAAGAAGAGGACTGGCTCATGGGCTTTTTACTTCCGTACGTTAAAGTATATTATCACACTAAGTATTTTTATCAAACCTGAGTGCGCTAGGATACAAAAACACTGCGCCTGAAAGAACGTTTAGATCAGCAGAGAAATTGCAAATAGGACTAAACATACAGCGCCCCTAGTTGAAAACTGTTTCGCACTGGACCGACTCGCTAAGTATGTCCATAACATTTGAGTTTCCCTAAAGTGTGATAACCTTCCTCGTGTGAACCGTCTAAGTCTCCCAGTCTGATTTGTGTTACGGGAAGAGCGGTCTTGTCTGTGAGCAGACCACTGTCCTCGCTCCAACCTTTACTGGGTCGGCAGTAGCAATTCTTACCATTGGGACAAGAATTTGATAGTCCACATGCGCACATTTTGTTGTAGCCAGTAGCTCCACCCCAGTAGTCCTTTCTTGTTCCATCACGTGACACCCACCATGCAAAACCATCCTCAATAAATGGCGAGTAAGGATTGCACTCATACTTGATGAACTGTTCGCAGTTATGTGAAACTCGAGTAAGCGCTGCCAGCTGGGCGGTAGTAACTGCTGTGTAACTAACATCTTTACGGTAACATCCGGCGCCATTACATCCAGGAATGTTACCAACATGGGTCCTACTCTCACTATCGTGACTAATGACCGTCACACCAACTCTGCCCTTGTCATTCATGTCACAATACACACTAAATGAAGTCACCCCACCATTGCCATCAGGGTCAATACTGTAATTACCAGAAGAGCTTCCAGGGTGTTTAGATCTTATCTCGCTGCAGGTTTTGGGTTTTAAGCTTAGCACTTTAACAACAGAGGTTGCTTCTATAGAACGGTGGTAGTTTTTCGCTACGCATTTGTAAGTTCCTGCGTCATTTAGAGAAACCATCCTCATAAGCAATGTTCCATTTGAAAAAATGGCATGATTTTTAGGAATTGCTTGGCTTTGTCTTTCCCAAAGAATATCTTTTTTGCCGTGGGCTGCACAGTTCAATATTATGTCGCTGCTCTCATTTGCAACAACTGTAGGAGGAGGAGCCAAAATGAATTCGAGCCTGTCAATCACTGTCACTAATGCAACAGCAGAATCTTGGCTAAGAAGGTTCTTTACCGAGCATGCGTAAGCCCCACCGTCTGCTTTCGTAACGCTGAGTATGGTCATATTCCAACCTGCCACCACAATATTCACTTTAGACATGTGACCAAACGCTTTGCGCCACATTACTGTTGGTGTCGGCTGACCAGTAGCTTTGCAAACTAGAGTCACATTTTGTCCTTCTTCAACAATGATAGACGAGGGCTTTTGAGTGATTAGGGCAGCAACTGTATAATGCAAACAAACAACAGTTATATGTTACGATAAGTAAAAAACGAGCTAGAACCTTCATGTGTGACTATCTGTCATAAACGACCATCTATAATAAGCTACAATCTAAAACGCCAAAAGTTTCCTTGTCAAGGCCTTAATTACAGTTGAAACCTCTCGTAAACAACCACCTCCGGTAAACGACCGCTACCACATTTCGGGGCTGACTGTTTAATAATTTTCGATTGGTCTAACATCTGTGAAGCCACCATTTGACGCATGGTCCTATCTCTGCGTTCACTTTATGTACTATAATGTTACCTATACAGTATACGATGACTTTTTAGTGACAACATGCATGGAACTACAATCGCAACTTAGAAATTGAATGCAATTAAGTATCTGCATGAGTAGATGTGAGTGAGCCTCTTCTTGTTTGAGACCCTCCCGTAGGAGACCCCCTTTGGTTAGATTAGGCTGATTTAGCAACAGGACGGGAACATCAGTTGGTGACGTGAAAGCGCGCGGAAAGGACTAAACACGACTTCCGGTGCCCAATTTGCCGCTCTGCCATTGGTCAAGCCAGTTGTTTGATATGCACGCGCCATTGTCAACTGACGTTCCCGTTCTGTTGCTAAATCAGCCTATTATTGTAAGTGAACAGTCTACGCATTTTGGGTGGTCACTTACGGGAGGTTCGATTGTAGTTGAACGTATTGTTGTGAAGTATTTTGTGGGTAATTTTTGGTTTATTTTATGTTCACACTTGACGTTTCACTCGCGCCTAGACAGTTTTCTTATGGTCAGTTTGAAGATCAAGGTTAATCGGTATTTGTGTCGACAGGTTTTTAAATTCTATTAAGTTATTAAATTTGAGTGTCAGTCCTTGAAGTGGGCACGTTTTGGAACCATCGTTGACCTTGATTGTTACCTACATCTCACGGAGTTCCTGTTTTGGTGTAAAGTAGAGCCTCGTGGGTTTAGCTGTCACGCTTGCATTGGTTTTCTTGTACTTGACATTATTAACCTTATAGGTTTGCTTATTCCACTTTGGTTATCAACAGGAAATTCGTTAACTCATTAGGAAAAGCGTTTCTAATTCTCATGGTCAGAAAGCCCGAACGTACCTGCATTCAAGTTATTTAAGTATTTAGGGGGTCGATTGGAGGTTGATTGGTGTGCAGGTGGTTGTTGAGCAGTAGTCGTTATGTGATGCGGTAATAGGAAGCAGTATGAGCTGCTGTGAAGAATAAAGAACACCAATATGTAAATTCAGATACCCAATGGTACCTCTGCACTAAGCGGGCGAGTTGCTCGTAAACCCCCAGGGGGGGCAACATAGCTTTAAACTTTAAGCAACTTGTTGCAAGGACTTCAGTCTGAGTGGACCCACCGCTTACTAAGAGAATACTAAGGCATATGTTTCTTTTCTCAAATCTTCCTTTACCAAAGCACGCGGTTGTAATTGGCCTTACAAAGTGACGAAATGTTTCTGCTATAGCGAGAGAACATCTCTTAAATGCAAACAAGTTCCTATCCGCGAATCTTTTCTCGGACAGGGGCTAAAATCGGACTTATTTACCTTGAACAGTTAATATGGCTGACGATGTTACAACTCCGAGTAAATTCTTCGCTTGGCACGTGTACATTCCGCCATCTTGTGGCGTCACATCCCTTATCATCAGGGTACCACGTGACTGTACGATTCGTTTGTTAGCAGGAAGACTGGAGTTCTGTTTCAGCCACGTGATCTGAGGCTTGGGATTTCCCCTAGCCTTGCACTGAAATGAGGCTACATCGGTTTCATTAACCACGGTGGGCGTGGGAGGTGATACGATAGAAGGAGCTGAGATGGTTTTACCAGGATCGCCCTTTGGACCTTGAGGGCCCGGATCGCCTTGAGGGCCTGGAGGTCCCTGAGGCCCGGGTGGACCTCTTTCACCAGGCCTCCCTCGTCTTCCCCTGGTGTTTTTTGGGCAACGTACTTTACAGGCCAGGTTACTAAGAACACGTTGCACTTCTTTCTTGATTTCATCACGACTCATCATTTTGCTGTCATTTGATCCCTTCTTCGAACTCCCTATGTTACGTTTCTGACGAGTGTATTTCTCTGCAAGAGATTTTGACTCAGTATGATTGGATAAGAAAAAGTAAGAAGGCCGTTCTTGCTTATGTAGGTGCGAAGGAAATATACCCGAGGGTGTTATGGCGCACATGAACAAGCCAAGGAGGAAATCATCGGCTTTGAGTTGGTTTTTCGCAAACTATGGAGCGATTTTAATAGACAAATCCTTAAAATCCTGAGCATAGTATGTACCTGGACTTGTCAAAACTTCTTTAAAGTACAACCTCATAATGTCGTGGCCGGTTTGTTTTGTGCTACCGAAGTCAGTGAAGTTTTGGTCTCCGAATCTAGGGATTGTACGATCCTCGTTTAGTAATAGCTATACTATACCAATGTGCTTTAAAAGTTTTTTTTAAAAAAATGTGTGCCCCTGTCTTATTCAACGTGAATCAATTCAGAATAGGGCTATGAAAGAACTATCTAAGTAATTAGAAGAAGGGACATTTCAATAGTCTCAATGGGGACATATACAGACCTTCCGCCAAGTCATTGTGTGTCTCCGTAAGCGTAGAATGACTCGTTTCATCATTTACTGTTTTTCTTGGCACGGGATTTTCCCCACTGTGTTGAGAACTCAAAACTCTTATAGTATCTCGATGTGCATGCAACTCCAACTCGACGTGAATCAGAGCCACGAAGCAAATAAAAATAGAGAGACTTTGTAACATTGAAACTGATACAGTTTTTGAATTAGAACGAACCTTTGTCGTCTCCATTCTAGTTAAAGATTGTTGACACAGCACGGACGGTCAATGAGACATGTACTGATTGCATAAGCCTTTTTAACACAGTTTCGCTTAATGGAAACTTTCATTTAGTTCCTTTAGGGCTTTTTCCGCATTCCGATAGGTTGCTCTTTATCCTAAAAAGATAGCTTAGAAAAGAATGCTTATTGTTTGTTACTATATTTACAAAGTACTGGTTTAACAAATGATCGCAGAAAGAGACAATAATCTCCACGTGAAATCATTGGAGGAACGACAGTCGTAGAGTAGCAATACAGTACGCCCATCTCCCCACCCCTCTTCCTCAAGATCTATTTCAAGGCCCTCCGGATTTCTCCAGTCAACTATTTTGCATGAACTCACGATGAAAAGGTTATAGCGAACAGGAAACAGTGCTTGATATATCTAACAAAGGAAAAAGAAATGAATTGGTGTATTAATTGCATTTGAAACCATTTCGAAGGAAAATATGTCTATCTTCAAACCGAGTTAGTTTGTTTGGTTTCCCCTTAAAGAGAGCGTGATTTTCACCCTGTTTACGGATGGTCAACTGCATAATCTACAAACAGACGAAACATTCCTTGAAGGTAATATGATCTACCTGTAATAGGAGATTTTGAGTGAAAAAGAAACAAACCAAGATAAGAAGTAAGACAGGTCACGTCTTTGAAAATACTGAAACATTACAAAATCACAAAATGTCGGACTTGATACTGATACGTTAACATACCTGCCAACTCTCCCGGTTTTCCCGGGAGTCTCCAAGTTTTTCATCAAATCTTCCGATCTCCCGGTTAGAGCACCAAATCTCTCGGATAAAATGGACTTTTGAGCATTTCTGTGCTTTAGTTTGAAATTTAGTCCATTTTTTCACAAAATTCGAACTTTCTTTATTCATTGTACGGTTTCTGGGACATTTTTGCACACAAAGATTAGTTCGTCATTACAATGATGAAAGCGCATTTTGATTCCATGTACGTCTTGTAAGACGTCATATAATGTCCTAAGGCAATTTGTTGGCGCGGGGGGGGGGGGGGGGGGGGGG